TCCTGCACCCAATACGTTGACTGGCGCGGAAGCGCTGCCGGAACGTCGAAGCGCGCTCAAGCCGCAGAAGCCCGAGCCGTTCGACCCAAGTCAACGCGACGCGAACGTGCGGACGTGGATCTTCATGCTGAACAACTACTTCGCCGCGAGCGGGGTGCAAGAGGCGGACGCGCAGCAGCGGATCGAGTACTCCGTTACGCTGCTTAGGGGCCCGGCCTTGGAGTGGTGGCGCCAACTCACGCAAACTGCTGTAAGAAGGGCTCATTTGGACGGGCATCAACAGGGTGAGGGGCATGCAGCTGCAACTTCGAGCTTAGGGAGTTTAGCTTTGGGTGTTACCACGGTTCCGACGACATGGGAAGGATTTGAAGCGGCGCTGAAGAGTAGGTTCGACTTGGTGAATGCCTCCGAAGCTGCTAGGAAGCGTCTGCGTCATTTCCGACAGATAGGAAACGTCCAGGAGTACACACGACGGTTCTTCAGCATCTGCAACGAGATAGACGATATCACGGAAGCAGAGATGCGCGATCGCTACCTCGAAGGGTTGAAGCCGGACATAGCGGAGATCATAGCGATTCACGGATTGTCCACCTTCGAGTCGGTAGTCGCAGCAGCAGAACGCGTCGACGCAGTACAAAGCCGACGGGGTCGTGACGGTCGCGATAGGGGATACAAACCGATCACCGACACTCGATCGAGGGACGGACCATCGCCCATGGAGATTGGTGCAGTTAACAGTGACGGCTCACAGAAAACGGGATTTAGGGGGAACTGTCACTACTGCAAAAAGCCGGGACACATGAAGCGGGACTGCCCACAGCTTAAGGAGCGGCAGCAGGGAAACGGAAACCGCCAGTAGGTAGCGGGTCGCTAGCTGGTGTGGACGCTTCCGAACCCGCCACGTCTACCAACGTAGAGGAGACGGCCTTAGAGCAGTCATCTACGCCGAACGAGGTAGACACTGTTGATCGTCCAGTCGTGCTTCTAGGGAAGCTTCGCGGTGTTCCAGTCAAGATTCTCATCGATAGCGGAGCTAGCCACTCGTTCGTTTCGTCTTCTTTAGTTAGTCGTCTCCATCTCGAGGCAGATTCGGCAGTCAACTTCAAGGACGCTCGCATGGTAGATGGGACGCCACTTCACATAGGACCAGTCATTCGCAAGTTGCGCGTAGTGCTAGGACCAATCACGATTAGGCGTGACTTCGACTCTGCGACATTGGACGGTTATGACTTCATCTTCGGTAGGGATTGGCTACGGACGGTTAATACTCAGTTCGATTGGGCTCAGGGAAGCTGCAGCGTCAAGGTAGATGGCGAGTTTCGGGAGCTGCCACAGTGGATCGACGGGGCCACGTCATCCACAGCTATCATCAATGCTGTTCGTGTGCGGCAGCTGGTGAAGCGTGCGGCACGGATCTTCGCGGTTTTCCTTGAGGAGGTGGAAGCTGAGGAGGGGAAAGGAGGGAGTGCAGCAGTTGGTGAGAAGGCGACTCTTCCTGTTGAGGTGAGTGCACTGTTAGCAGAGTTCGCAGACGTCTTCCCCGACGAGTTGCCCCCAGGGTTGCCTCCCAGCCGAGCAGTAGACCATCGGATAGAGTTGGAGCCGGGAAGCAGACCAGTAGCGAAGCCGCAGTGGAGGTTGAGTCCAGCTGAGACAGAGGAGATGACGCAGCAGGTTAGGCACTTTCTCGCGCAGGGGTTCATACAGCCATCTAGATCGCCTTGGGCAGCACCGATCCTTTTCGCGCCTAAGAAAGACGGAGGGTTGCAGATGTGCATAGATTACCGCGCACTGAACGCCGCCACCGTCAAGAACAGATTCCCAGTGCCGAGAGTAGAGGATCTCCTAGATGCAGTGCAGGGCGCTAGAGTCTTCTCAAAGATCGACCTTCGTTCGGGTTACCACCAGATTCGTGTAGTTCCGGAGGATCAGGACAAGACGGCGTTTCGTACGAAGCAGGGGTTATACGAGTTTAGGGTTCTACCGTTCGGTTTGACCAACGCCCCAGCGACTTTTCAAACGCTCATGAACACCGTCCTCTCCGAGTTCCTAGGTTCGTTCGTCGTAGTTTACCTAGACGACATTCTCATTTTCTCCAAGACGAAAGAGGAGCACGTGCAGCACTTGCAGAAGGTCTTCGAGGTCTTGCGGAGGGAGCAGCTGTACGCGAAGCAGTCGAAGTGCGAGTTCTTCCTCCCCGAGGTCGAGTTTCTAGGTCACGTCATATCCGCTAGTGGCATTAGGACCGACCCGAGGAAGATCGCAGCAGTACAGGACTGGATAGCTCCGACCTCAGTCAAGGAGTTGCAGAGCTTTCTCGGATTCGCGAATTACTACCGTCGTTTCGTTCAGGGTTACGCATCGATCGCTAGTCCACTCACCGACCTACTTCGGAAGGGCGTAGATTTCGATTGGGGTCCAGCGCAGCAGCAGGCGTTCGAGCAGATGAAGCAGTCGCTCACGTCTTCACCGACACTGTCGTACCCAGATCCCACTCGCCCGTACGTTGTAGTGACCGACGCATCAGATCGGGCCATTGGAGCAGTGCTTCTTCAAGACCAGGGCCGCGGGTTGCAGCCGATAGCATACGAGTCACGTAAGCTTAGGGGAGCGGAGCTGAACTATCCGATTCACGACAAGGAGGCGCTCGCGATCATCCATGCGTATAAGGTGTGGAGGTGCTACCTAGAGGGGGCAGATAGTGTTATACGCACGGACCATTGCTCGCTTCGCTTCCTCAAATCGCAGCCGCAGCTGAGTCGTCGCCAGGCTAGATGGATGGAGTTCATGGAGGGGAGTTTCCACTACAGGATAGAGTACAAGCCAGGCGTTCGCAACCCAGCAGATCCACTCACTCGCCCTAGTTGCCAGCTCGCTAGTCTCACAGTCACTGCCGGCCATCCACTCCTCACAGCACTCTTCGAGCACGGTTACACAGTAGATCCCGACTTCACACCACAGCCGCCCGCAGGAGCAGAGGTGCAGGGTAGTGTTTACATACGGAAGGGTACCACACGGATTTGGGTTCCAGCCTACCGCCCTCTTCGACAGCTTCTTCTTTCCGAGGCGCACAATGTAGTTAGCGCGGGTCACTTTGGAGCAGATAAGACGGCTAAGACGCTTAGTCGCACGTACTTCTGGCCAGGGCTTGCAGCAGACGTAGAGGATTACATTCGCTCGTGCGACACGTGTCAGCGTACGAAGTCCTCTCGCCAGCGCAAGGCAAGACTTTTGCAGCCGATTCCACCACCCGACCGCCCTTGGCAGGTAGTTACGATGGACTTCATCATGGCTTTACCGCGCACAGTTAGGGGTCACGACGCCATCTTCGTGGTAGTGGATAAGTTTTCTCGAGCAGCGCACTTCATCCCCACGCACGGCAAGGTCACAGCAGAGGAAGCCGCGACGCTGTTCGTACATAACGTAGTCCGACTGCACGGGGTTCCAGATTCCATCATCTCAGACCGCGACCCTCGTTTCACTTCGAAGTTCTGGAAGCAGCTTTTCGCACTGTTTGGGACTCGCTTAGCCATGTCGTCTGCGTACCATCCAGAGACAGACGGACAGACCGAGCGTGTGAACCAGACCTTGGAGCAGATTCTTCGCAGCATCACGATGCACGACGCAGCCGCATGGGACAAGAAGCTGAGCATGGCCGAGTTCGCCTACAACAACACGCACCACTCGTCCACAGGCATGTCACCGTTCTTTGCACTGTACGGTCAGCACCCCAATGTCCCCACTCGTGTCGATCTCACACCCACAGTCCCTCGTGCGGACAACTTCCACCAGCATCTCACCTTCATTCATGATCACGTTAGGAAGCACCTTGAGCTCGCAAATGCACGCATGGCACGCACCACCAACCGCAGTCGTCGTGAGGTGTCGTTTGCAGTCGGCGACCGTGTTCTTTTGGATAGCCGCAACCTCCGACTGCCACAGGACAGCAAGCTTCGCCCTCGTTTCATTGGTCCATTCGTCATTGAGCGCGCACTAGGTCCAGTCGCATACCGCCTTCGCCTTCCCGCTCATTTCCGCATGCACCCGTCATTCCACGTGTCTCTCCTTCGTCCATACACCGATCCCAACGCCACCTTCTCGGGCCGTGATCGCAATCCACTGCCGGTAGCTGTTGACACCGACGAGCCCGACTACCAGATCCAGCGCATCCTCAGGCACCGACGCCGTCTCCAGGGGGGTGTCTCTTTCATCGACTTCTTGGTTCGTTGGCGTGGTTACGATGCAGCCGACGACAGCTGGGTTCCTTCGTCCTCGCTGTCTCCCGACAACGCTTGCCTTCAAGCGTACCTTCAGTCTGCAGGTGCCGCGGACGTCGCCTCCTTGGGAGGGGGGTAGTGTTACAGGGGGTTTTACTGTTCACTTTGCACAGTAACTCCCAACTCCATCCTTATCCTTATCTTCTTGGATTTCCTAGTGCCACGTGGCACTCTACTTTCTTTGCCTTCTAGTTCCTAGTCCCATAACCCACTTTCCCACAATTGCTCTTGCATGCTATATCAACCTTGCTTGTATTCCCTCATATCAATCAATTCTCATTCAACTCTTCAATTACTCAGTTACCTCTTCGCCTATTTCGCCAACACTCTCTTTCGCCAAAGTCTTCCGCCGCGTTTATCCTCAATTTAGTCATCCCCGCTATTCCTTAGCGGATTTAGGCCAAGGGGCCTAACACATGTTCATATAGACGTACTGTTTTGAGTGTGTTTTCTCTAAAAAATATAGATTTCTTAAAGCGAGTCGTCGACGCACTCGTCGCGATCCTGTGGCGAGATGTCATGCGTTTCTTACGATCTCTCCACTAGCTCCTCCCACCCCGCTACTATGCCGCCGCCCCTTGGTGTTATTTTTGTCGTATTCACGCTCTAAAATTATTACAGCTGCGATCCACTTCTAACGCTTCTTCCCGACGCCCATTCGTGTCGGATCGCAAAACTCTGCCAACCGGATAACGGCTAGCAGGTATCATTGACGGTGGAGCGATGGTATCCTACCGGTCGGTGCTTCAGACGGTGGAGGCGGCGCTGGGGCCTGACGGCCGGCGGGGCAAGCAGCTGACGGCAGCGCAGCGCGGCGACCTCTTTTACGCGCTCTCGCTCGTAGAAGATGACCTCAGGTCTGACGTCACTACACTAGGCATGACGTCAGACGTTAGCTTTATGACGTCACGACGTTAGGCGTGTGACGTGAAATTGGCGCGTGGCGGTAGACGATCGCCCGCGACGCGTTATGGCGAGAATCACAGCGGTTACAGGAAACTCCGTCGTTAGGTTTTGGATTCGACCTAGTGTGAGGTGGCGAGAGGGTTGCGTTGGGGCTGCGACAACGCTGAGATGCAGAATCCACGCCTCCTCTCTCCCCCCACCCACCCACCCACCCCACCTCCCCCTTCCCCTCCCCCTCCCCTCTCGCCCAGCCCCCCTCTGCTCTATGCATGACTGTTCGCGCCCGCAGGAACCGTTTGGCGGAGAAGCCGCGGAATAAGCAGCAACGCGCAGGTGCGCTCCATTCTTCCGCGCCCGCGACCACTCCCCTTCCTCCCCCCTTCCCGCTCCCCCCTCCCCCTCGCCCGCGGCCATTCCCCCTCCTCTCCCCTTCCGGTCTGCGCAGGAGCCTCGTGGTGGAGAAGCCGCGGAATGAGCAGCAGCGCACAGGTGCGCTCCAAAGAGGTGCCGCTGCTTTGCGTCCTTAATGTATTAACCCAACCCACGTCCCTCCTCCCGCCACCCTCCCCTCTCACCTGTCCCCACTCCTCCCCCCTTTCCGCTCCCCTTTCCTCCTCGCCCACAACCACCCCCCCTCCTCTCCCCTTACGGTCCGCCCAGGAACCTTTCGGTGAACAAGCCTTGGGAGGGGCAGCAGCGCGTGCAGGTGCGCAGCAAGCAGGTGCCGCTGCTTTGTTTGCTGATGCATCAACCCAACCCACCCCACCTCGCGCCCTTGTCCCCACGTGTCCCCTTTTAGAAACCTCTTGGCAAAGAAGCCGCGCGACGAGCAGCAGCGAGCCCAGGTGCGCAGCAAGGAGGTGGCACTGCCGGACGGCCCTCCCGCTGTGCTGGACGCCAAGGACGTGCAGGTGAGCGGTGGTGAGGGATGGTGAGGGGTGAGACGTGCAGGTGAGCCCACCTTCTGGGATGTGCAGGTGAGCCCATCTCACTCCCCCCCGCCTGTGTCCCCCCCCCCCTGTGTGCTGCTTCTCCCGTCTCGGGTTGAGACCTGCAGGTGAGGGTTGCAACGTGCAGGTGAAGGATGGGGCATGCTGGGCTGGAGGCTGGAGTGTGGAGCGTGGACTGTGATTGCGCGGAATCTTGTTGCGCTGCCACCACTCCACTGCTGCCTTCCAAGGACCTGCAGTGCAGTGCTGTCTCCTTCTCATTTACTCCTTCCGCCTCTCCCTTCCCCATCCCCCCCGTCTGTGTGTTGCCCCCACAGCTGGTACTGCAGCTGAGCGTTGCCTTTGACGTCAACGAGGTGCCACTCCTCCATCCACATCACCCCCAACCCCCCTTCCCCTTCCCCTTCACCTTCCCCCTATGCACCCACTGCCTGCCCCCACAGCTGGCGCTGCAGCTGAGCGACGCGTTCGAAATCAACGAGGTGGACTGTGTGGCGCCGCTGCTGCCTGCCTCTGAATCGTTGTCCCGTTTCCTGCCACCCCCTTCGTCCCCCCCATTCCCTCCCTTTGTCCCCTCTCCCCCAACCACAGCTGGCGCTGCAGCTGAGCGATGCCTTTGGCATCAACGAGGTGGACTGTGTGGCGCTGCTCGTGGCGGCACACCATGAGGTATGCAGTGCGGTGGAGTGCGGTGATGTGCAGTGATGTGTGGGGCATGATGTGAGGTAACGCCTGGGCGCGAGGCAGTGCAGTGCAGTGCAGTGCGGTGGAGTGCAGTCTCTCCCTGTCCAGACAAATTCCTTATCGCAGTCCGCAGGGTAGGCTTCGTGGTCGTTTTGAATGAGGCGACGGCAGTCATGTGCGTGCGTGCGTGCGTTGCGTAGCAATCAAGTAATCCACGCCCGGTGCAAGGAGGAGCCTTATGCTTCGTCTCGTCTCGTCTCGTGGCCTCTCTTGTCCGGCCCCTCCTATTCTCTTTTCGCCTCGCATTGCATCTACCTCAAGAGCCGCGAGCATACAACTTGCGGACCCTATTCGACCCCTTGACTTGTTATTCCCTTGCAATGCATTACAGCTGAGCTAAGAGCGCGGCCACTGTCATGTGCGGCTGCCAGCAGGCGTGCTCCTGAACAACTCGTCAAACATGCAATCCTGTTGCACTCAGTCACTCATCCACTCACTCGTATGCATGCCCATTATGCACACTCCCACGCCCACTCTCACTGTCACCGGCAGTGGGGCATAGCGGGGAGGGCGGACAGTGACGTGATGCGTCTGGCGGCAGGGCTGTGGTTCACAGAGAGGCTCACTAAGTACCCTCTTTCTCCCACCCAACCCCCCCCACTCATCACACTCACTCTCATGCCCATCACACACACTCCCTAACAGTGGGGCATAGCGGGGCGGGCAGACAGTGACGTGGTACGCCTGGCAGCGGGGTTGTGGTTCACAGAGAGGCGAGCGCTGCTCTCCACGCTCTTCCTCCTTCTCAAGGTGCGACCCCCCCCGCCTCCTTCTCAAGGTGCGACCCCCCCCGCCTCCTCCTCAAGGTGTGTCCTCCCCCCATTGCATCCGGCTTTCAGAATTCGTCTCTTGTGTCCCTGTTGCCTACCAAGGTCCGTCCTCCTCGTCTGTCTCTGTCATTTTCTCTTGTCATGCTATGGAGACCAGATTTCGTCAGTTTTGAGGCGCCTCAAAACTAGTCGTCTGTCTCTGTCATTTTCTCTTGTCATGTATGGAGGAGACCGGATCTCGCCATCCTCTCTTCCTTCTGTGTGTTCAGTGTTTTGAGGTGACTTGCCCTAAACCATAAACCCTGAACCTGCAGCTACGGCTCCCAGCGTCCCAACTCTCCCCCATCTTTCGTCCCTTCCCCCCTCCCTCCCTCCCGCCCGCCCTCTCTCCTTCGTCTCCACCCACGTTCTTCACTTTCTTTCCCTTTCACACTCCCCCCGGGCCCCCGCTCACACATGCAGGTGGCAGTGGTGGGAGACAGCACCACAGACCCTCTACTGCTAGGCCACGTGCACCGCTACCTTCTCTCACTCCCCAACTCTCAATTCACTTTCGCCCCCCTCTCCTCCGCCTCTCCCCACGTTCTTCTCCTCCCACATTCCTCCCTCTCACGCAGGTGGCAGTGGTGGACGATAGTGCATCAGACCTCTACTCCTCGACCACGTGCGTTGCTAACTGCGCTCACTCCCCCTTCTCTCTCCTCACCTCACCCTCTTGCTCCTCCCCTCTCCCCCCCACACAGGTGGCAGTGGTGGGCGACAGTGCATCAGACCCCCTACTGCTCAACCACGTGCGCCGCTACCTGCGTTCCCTCCTCCAATCAGGCCTCACCGCCCGCCTCTTCCGCCTGCTTCGGGAGCTCAACCGACCCGACGCCTCTGGTTCGGGCTCGCCGAGCCTGACCCTCGTGGTGGCTGGGGCTGCTCCCCCTGCTGGGGCGTCGCCGGTGCCTGGGGGAGGGGAGGGGGGAGGGGGAGGCGGAGGGGGGGGAGCGGGGGGAGTGGGGGAGTATGTGATGGACGGGAGGGGGCTGCTGGCGAGGCGGGGGGATGTGGTGCAGCGGGAGAGGCTGCTGGTGGCTCAGTGCGTGGCGCTCTCATGCCTGCTCTGCCGACTCGGTCCGTGCTGCTCCCTGCTGCACGTGCTGCTCCTCCTGCTGCTCCTCTTGCCACTACTTCTTTTCTCAATACCTCCTCACGCTCTGCGTGCAGCGTGCACCGTGCTTTTCTTTGGACTGCTTTCCTTTATCACCAGTTCTTCCCTTCCTACGTCCGTTCCTCACTTCCCCCTCCGCCCATTGGCCCGTCTTCTCTGCTCTGCTCTCCACAGACCCCGCTGTTGGACGCCAAGGAACTCGTCGAGATGTTGCAGGACAGTTCAGCCCCTCAGCTGCATCAGTACCCGCTGCGTGCCACCTGGTTCTCCCCTGATGTTTCTTTCCCCCCCTCCTCTCCATCCCACTGTCCTTTCCCGTCTTCCGCGCTTCTTCCCTCTGCTCTGTACTCCCCTCCCCAGACCCCAAGGAGGCCAAGGAGCTCTTCGAGTTGCTGCAAGACGCCGCCCGTGATTGGTCCGCTGCTACCTCCTCCTCCCACTCCCCCTCCTCCACCGCCCTCGCCCTTCCCCCCATCCCGGCGCCATTCTCTCTCCCTGCTGCCCCCTCACCCACGCCGTCTACTGCCAGCACTGCCACAGCAGCAGTGGCGCTCCACATCACCTACACGCTCATGTTCGCGCTGCTGCACACCCTGCTCTCTGACTCCCTCGCCTCCCCCTCCTCCGCCGCTGCCTCTGCTGCTGGGGGGGCTGGGGGACCTGGGGGGGCGGCTGCGCCTTCTTCTGCTGCCCCTGCATCTCCTTCCCCCTCTGCGGCCCTGCCTGCTGTGCTGGCGCCCAACGAGGCGTTCCGCAAGGAGTTCAGCCGATTGGTGAGTTTGCCTGTTGAATCTCTAAGGCGCCTCCTGCTGCCCGCCCGCCTGCCAGGATGCACGCCTCTCTGTGTCGTGGCGTGGCTCCTCAATGTCGACCATAGCGAGGCGACATTGGTCGACCATAGCGAGGCGACATTGGTCGACATTGAGGGGCCGCGACACAAGGCATCACTCCAAGTGGGGTGTGGGGCTATTGGGAGTTGAGCAGAGCAGTGAGCAGAGAGTGCTGCTGCTGCCTTTCTTCGTTCCAGTGATGGCAGTCTGTTGTGGTTGTGAGCAGTGTACTGTGACTGCCAGCGGTGTGCTCTGAATCTCAACAAGCTTGGCTGAGCCGAACATGTTCGATGTTCGGACAGGTGGGGAGGGAGGCCACGAGGGAGGAGCTGGCCCACTGAAAACACACTCTCGAACCTCCAACATGTTCGGGTTCGCCCCGAACATGCAGTGTTCGCCCCCCTATCACGAACACCGAACACCTAAAATCGCCAAAAAAATGTTCGGGCGAGCCGAACATGTTCGGTTCGCCTACAAGACATGTTCGTGGAGGTTCGGGCGAACATGTTCGGTGTTCGCCCGTTGCTCATGTCTACCTCCCATTTCCCCTCTTCCCATCACCTCCCTGCACTCTATGTCTGTGTGTCTGTCTGCCCTTCCCAATTTCAGGTTCTCAAGGCAACACCATCCCCCACTGCCCCTGCATCCTCCCACGCCCTCGTCCCATTCCAGTCCGGCCCACTCTCCCTCCCGCCTCAGCCCTCCCCCTCTGCTTCCACCTCCTCCCCACCCTCCTCCTCGCCCCTCACCCCCCCTGCACCTGATGACGTCATCTCTGTCATTCGCCTCGCCTGGGCGGTTTTCCTAGCCAACACCAGCACCCTCCCAGCCTTCTCCGCCCCGAGCCTCTCCCCCTCCCGAACGTCCGCCCGAGGCTCGGTTGCAGCGGCGGCCCTTGTGGCAGGAGGTTCGGGAGAGGAGGTGGTTGGGGATGAGGTGGCAGTGGCTCGGGAGTGTTTAAAAGACGAGACTTTGTTAAGTGCCACGACGCTGCTGCTGCAGCACGTGTTGTCATCTGCGGTGTTTGAAAATGATGATGAGGATTTAACATTCACCTATATGGTCTACACCCACAAGCTCCTCTCGTCCTTCTTCCTCCAGCCAATCACGCGCGAGCGAATCCGGGAGCTGCGCCACGCCTCCCTCTCCCTCCCTTTCCTCCCCGCCACGTCATCATCCGGCCGTCCAGCTCATGCTGACGTGGACAAGGTTGCGCGCTTAGCTGGCGCGTACCCCCACAGCATGGGGCGTGGCGTGGCTCGAAGCTTAGAGGAAGAAGACGAGAGAGAGCAGAGGCAGCAGCAGAGGGAGGAGGCAGAGGCACAGGAGCAGGTGGCAGTGAGGGGGAGGGCGTATCTGGGGCTGCTGCAGCTGGTGGGGGCGGTGTATGCGCGCCAGCCGGAGCTGATGGGGGGGGGCGGCGTGCTTTGGCAGTTTGTGATGTACGTGGGCGAGGAGCACAGAGGGGCGGCGTCGCTGGTGGCGTTTCTGAACCTGCTGGGCCAGCTGGTAGGTGGGGAGTGGGGTGGAGGGGAGTGGAGGGGGGAGAGAGAGGGATGGAGGGGATGGAAGGATGGGAGGGAAGAATGATGTTGTTGTGGTGGGAACTGGGTGGGCCATGAGTGCCAGAATCTTCATGTTATCATGTGGTGTGGCAGCAAGGCAAGGCATGTGGGATGAGAGCAAGAGGGCTGCCTTTCTGGTCTCATTTCTGAACCTGCTGGGCCAGCTGCAGGGGAGGGGGTGGGTGGGAAGGGGATTGAAGGAAAGGGGCGCATGGGAGGGAAAGACGATGGTGGGTTGGGGTTGGGGGGAAGTGCGTGGCAGTTTGAAGTGTGGTCTGGGCGGGCGTGAGGGAGGAGAGCAGGGAGGTTGGTTGCTTTTGTGGGGGAGTGCTTGAACCTGCTGGTTCAGGCGCTGTGGATTGGAGTGGCACGGGGGAGATTGAGTGAGAGGAAGGCATTGTGGATTGGTTTCCTTCCGCACCCACGTAGCTTCTCTGTGACTTCCTGTTTCACCACGTGTGCCATGTGATGTGCAGGCCACAGGAGAGGAAGGTTCTCGGCAGGTTCACGAGCTCATGAATGGGCGGCATCTGCGATCAGTCAGCTGGCATGCGCTGATGCAATCATTGCAGGTGAGGTGCAATCATTGCAGGTGCGATGCAATCATTGCAGCAGGCCTGTCTGTATTATACTATGTTATGTTATGCTGAACTGACTGCGTTGCAGTTTCATAAGTGTCATTACTGGTAACTGCACTCCACTACCCAACACAGCTCTCACATTAAAGAACCCTCGCCCATCTCACAATCAGACGCCTCTCTGTCCTTCCCCCCTCTCCCCTCCCAGGCATACGACGATTGCCTGCACCAAGCCTTTCAGGACCCCTCTCTGCCATACCAGCACCAGCACCACCAGCACCAGCACCACACCTCCCTCTTCCCCCCGGAAGACACAGCCGTCCTCGAGGCGTACCTGACGTGTCTGCACCAGGTGCTGCGCCACTCCCCTGCGCCCCTGCGCACGCGCCTCTTCTCCGATGCCTTCTTTGACTCGCTCTTCCGCCTGCTCCCCCACGCCGCCGTCCCCCCCGCCCTCAAGGGCGCCCTGCGCTCCGCCATCGCTGCCTTCCTCGGCGCCCCCGCCACCGTCGCTGCGCTCACCACCACAGCCGCTGCTGCTGGTTCTGCTGCCGTGGCAGGAGGGGGTGGTGCAGGTGCTGCTGCTGCTGGTGGGGCGGCAGCAGGGGATTTGATGGCGCTGGCGGCAGCAGCGGCGGGGCTGACGGGGGCGGCGGCGGCAGCGCTGGCGGCACGCACATGGGCGCTCGAGGAGTTCTATGACCTGCCGCCCTCAGCTTCTGCGACGCTGGAGGAGCAACAGGCATGTATTGTGTGTGTGTGCGCGCGTGCGTGGGTATGCCCGTGTGCGTGTATGGCTCCTCTGTGTGTGCGTGTGGGCGCTGGAAGAGTTCTATGACTTGCCGCCTGCGGCTTCTACAACTCTGGAGGAGCAACAGGCATGTAGTGTAGTATGTGTGTGTGTGTGCGTGCGTAAGTGGGTGCGTGCGTGCGTGAGTGTATGCATGTATCATGTGTGTGTGTGTGTGTGCGTGCGTGTGTGAGTGTATGCATGTATCATGTGTGTGTGTGTGTGTGTGCGTGCGTGTGTGAGTGTATGCATGTATCATGTGTGTGTGTGTGTGTGTGCGTGCGTGCGTGAGTGTATGCATGTATCATGTGTGTGTGTGTGTGCGTGCGTGTGTGAGTGTATGCATGTATCATGTGTGTGTGTGTGTGTGCGTGCGTGTGTGAGTGTATGCATGTATCATGTGTGTGTGTGTGTGTGTGCGTGCGTGTGTGAGTGTATGCATGTATCATGTGTGTGTGTGTGTGTGTGTGTGCGTGCGTGTGTGAGTGTATGCATGTATCATGTGTGTGTGTGTGTGTGTGTGTGTGTGCGTGCGTGCGTGAGTGTATGCATGTATCATGTGTGTGTGTGTGTGTGCGTGCGTGTGTGAGTGTATGCATGTATCATGTGTGTGTGTGTGTGCGTGCGTGTGTGAGTGTATGCATGTATCATGTGTGTGTGTGTGTGCGTGCGTGCGTGAGTGTATGCATGTATCATGTGTGTGTGTGTGTGTGCGTGCGTGTGTGAGTGTATGCATGTATCATGTGTGTGTGTGTGTGTGTGCGTGCGTGCGTGAGTGTATGCATGTATCATGTGTGTGTGTGTGTGTGCGTGCGTGTGTGAGTGTATGCATGTATCATGTGTGTGTGTGTGCGTGCGTGTGTGAGTGTATGCATGTATCATGTGTGTGTGTGTGTGTGCGTGCGTGCGTGAGTGTATGCATGTATCATGTGTGTGTGTGTGTGTGCGTGCGTGTGTGAGTGTATGCATGTATCATGTGTGTGTGTGTGTGCGTGCGTGTGTGAGTGTATGCATGTATCATGTGTGTGTGTGTGTGTGCGTGCGTGCGTGAGTGTATGCATGTATCATGTGTGTGTGTGTGTGTGCGTGCGTGTGTGAGTGTATGCATGTATCATGTGTGTGTGTGTGTGTGTGCGTGCGTGCGTGAGTGTATGCATGTATCATGTGTGTGTGTGTGTGTGCGTGCGTGTGTGAGTGTATGCATGTATCATGTGTGTGTGTGTGCGTGCGTGTGTGAGTGTATGCATGTATCATGTGTGTGCGTGCGTGTGCGTGTGTGGGTGTGCGCATGTCTCTACAGCCCCCTACAACATGGGCATGGAGTTGAGCGTGGTGGAGGCGAGGGTGGATGAATACCCCTCTCTCCATGGTGTGCCACACTGCTTGTTTCATAGCCTGTGACCCTTACTGTGTGCCATGCCTCCCTCTCCCCGTCACCCTGCCGCTCCAGCGCCCCTCCACAGCGCCATACGACATGGGCATGGAGTTGAGCGAGGTGGAGGGCACCTCTCTCCTCTCTCTCCATGCTGTGCCACACTGCTTGTTCCATAATCCAAGGCAGTGTGACCCTTACCCTGTACCGTCCCACTGCCCTCCTCCCCTCTCCCTGCCCCTGCAGCGCCCCTCCACAGCCCCCTACGACATGGGCATGGAGCTGAGCGAGGCGGAGGCCAGGGTGGAGGAGTATCCCTCCCTGCGCTGCACTTTTCTGTGTGCAATGCTAATTCTATGCCATGCCCCGCCACCACACCACCCCCCTCTCCCTGAGCAGCGCCCCTCCACAGCTCCATACGACATGGGCATGGAGCTGAGCGAGGTGGAGGCGAGGGTGGAGGAGTATCCGTCAACGCTCTCCTTCCTGCGCCTGCACAACACACTACTCGCCCTCGACCCCCTCTCCCGCCCCGCCAGGTCTTTCACACTCCCTGCATGCTGCATTGCACATGCCGTCATAACTTTTTACTTTTCTGAGTCAACTCAAGAGTCGTGCTGCATGCCCTTACCCTTTCTAGTTTCGCAACGCTCCTTCCTCTTCTTCTTTGTTTTGTCAGTTGTTTGTCGGTTTTGCTGTCTCCTTCATGCATCACCGATCCCATTACCTGCCAATTCCAGGCTGCTCCCGTCCGCTTCCCGTACTCACGGTGTCACCCCTCCCACCTCCTCCACCCCCCTCACAGGTTCCTCGACTACTTCCGGTTCGTGACCAGCAGTGTGTTTGTGCCGTACACTCGCCGCGTGTACGCCAAGGCAGACGAGATGTGGCAGCTGCTGCTCGCCTCGCTCTCCCTCTTCCACCTCGCCCTCCTCCTCCTGCAACGCTCCCCCCTCCCCACTGCCCCTTCGCTCGCTGCGCTCTCTGCTGCTTCCTCCTCTTCAGCCAATGGGCTGCTGCCAGCTGGCGCTACACCGGGACTGCTGCTGATGAAGGTGGGTGGGTAGGTAGGACCGTAGGCAAGGCAGGCAGGCCGTGCGTGCAGCTCACACCCAGAGGCAGGCCGTGCGTGCAGCTCACACCCAGACCAGTTTGCGTTGCTTTCGCCTGCACTGCACTGCGCACCTGCCTGCGCCAGTGAACCAAGAGCCCACACCTTCATCGCCACAACTTGCAACCCAGCCAGCCCCTCTAGAGCCCGCCGTGTGCCCATTGCCCACCGTGTGCCCATTGCCCACCGTGTGCCCCTTGCCCACCGTGTGCCCCTTGCCCGGCCAGCAATTCTCCCTCCCTCACTTCTCCCGGCGCCCTTCTAGAGGAGCGCGTGCTGCACCCTCCCGCTGGCGCTTTGCTCTCCAAGACACTGACGCCGCCATATTGGAGTCTCTTTGAAGTCTCTCAAAAGTGACTCCCCCTTACGGCCCTCCCCTCCCCCTCCTTCTCCCTCCCCCTTCCCCCCGCACAGGACTTCCCATCAGCGGGCCCAGCCCTGCGCAACATCATCGCCATCATCTCAGCGGGCCCCGACTCTCTCCTAGAGGAGCGCGCCCTGCGCCCCCAGGCGCTCTCATTCGCCCTCGAAGACACCGTCGCTGCCTGCCTGCGCCTGCTCCTCGCCCTCTCATTTGCCCTCAAGGACATCGTTCCCCCCCTCAACACAGGACATTGTTCCCCCCCTCTCTTTCCCCATCCTCCCCCCACTCCTTCTCCCCACTCCCACAGGACTTCCTATCAGCAGGCCCAGCTCTGCGCAACATCATCGCCATCATCTCAGCGGGCCCCGACTCTCTCCTAGAGGAGCGCGCCCTGCGCCCCCAGGCGCTCTCATTCGCCCTCGAAGACACCGTCGCCGCCTGCCTGCGCCTGCTGCTGCTCGCGCTCTCCCTCGACCAATCGCTGGCCGACACCTGGCAGCCCGCCGTGCGTCTGCTGCACCTCGTGCTCGCGGAGGACGTGGCGCTCGTGACAGCTGTCATGTCCTTCGTGCGCTACCAGCCGTCGGATGCCATCCAACGGTCGGCGATCGAGCTCACGAGCGTCTTCAGGTGACTGTTGCTAATGGTTGAGCTGAGCGTCTGCCTGCCTCACGGCTTTGTGACGTCTTGGTTGAATCGCGAGCCATAAGAAGCGGTTGAATCAACAGTGGGTGTTTGCACTGGGATATGTGCTCTCCTTGTGATGTGATGTTTCCATATCAAGAGCATCCCCAGCTACCACGCCCCCTCATCTCCTTATTTCTCCTCATCTCCTTCATCCATCCCCTCTTCCCTTGCCCCTGTGACATGCAGTGCGCGTGGCGTGCCACTTGTCGCGATGGCATTGGAGGCGGGCATGGTGCAGCGATTGGTGGAGGACTTTGCAGAGTGCCTTGACGTCAGCGCTAGTTCCGTGACTGTAGAGAGCGCTGGTGGTGGCGATGGTGGTGTGACTGTGGATGGTGGGGAGGAAGAAGGCGGGGAGGAGGGCAGCGAGCAGACAGACTGCGCTACCCTCATTCTCCAGGTGAGTGCAGCGGGACTGTACTCAATAACTGGCAGCACCGTAGCAATGCAAGGTGAACAAGCGGTTCTGTGGCCTCCACGTGACTACTTTTGTCCTTGGTTCTCCTGTGCGATGCACCTGCTGTGCTTAAATTCCTCTCTGTTGTTTACCTTTCTCCCCTCGCAGCTGCTGCTGGCGTCGCTACGCAGGCAGCACCCCACACCGGCGCACGTGCTTCTCAGGCTCTGCATAGACATGTGAAATGAGGGTGCTTTTGAGACGTCTCAACAGCACTCTGCATGGACACGGCCCTCGCTGCCTCTTGCGTCCTCAGGCGACTCACAAGTCACCTATGCTCCCTGCTGTGCTCTCCTCCCTCCCCTCCCAGCTGCTGCTGGCGTCGCTAAGGAGGCAGCCCCCCACGCTGGCGCACATGCTGCTGTGCCCCCCACGCTGGCGCACATGCTGCTGTGCCCCCCACGCTGGCGCACATGCTGCTGTGCCCCCCACGCTGGCACACATGCTGCTGTGCCCCCCACGCTGGCGCACATGCTGCTGTGCCCCCCACGCTGGCGCACATGCTGCTGTGCCACGCTGGCGCACATGCTGCTGTGCCCCCCACGCTGGCGCACATGCTGCTGTGCCCCCCACGCTGGCGCACATGCTGCTGTGCCCCCCACGCTGGCGCACATGCTGCTGGGCTCGGCTTCGATGTGGACAGGCCCTTCGCTGCCTGTTTACCTCCTAAGGCGACTCAAAAGCCACCTATGCTCCCTGATTTGCTCTCCCACCTCGCTCTCTCCTCGCCTCTCCCCCCCTCTCTCCCCTCCCAGCTGCTGCTGGCATCATTAAGGAGGCAGCCCCCCACACTGGCGCACATGCTGCTGGGGTTCGATGTGGACAGGCCGCTCGCTGCCTCCGTGCTGCAGCCCAACCGCCGCTTCAGGTGGGCACGGACGGCGCTACAGCGTTGAGTTGAGCTCCTGAGTGGATCACTGCACAAGTCGTTTTCTTTCTTGCACCGCATGTTTTGCATCAATGATCAGCACATGTTTTGCATCAATGATCAGCACATGTTTTGCATCACTGATCAGCACATGTTTTGTGTCAACCACATGGCATGAATTCCAATCTCCAACCCAACTTTCATCATCCAACTCCCACCCATCCCTTCTAAACTCCATCTTGCCACCATTCTCACCACACCGCACCACTACCCTCATCTACCCACCCACGCACTCCCCCTCCACAACCCCCACCAGCGCCCTCCGCATTCTCCTCGACCTTGTGCTCTCCACAGGAGCAGACGGCGACACCGACGCCGACCAATCAGACGCCGCCACCGCGCCACGTGTCAGCCTGCGGTTAGCGCGCCTGCGTGAGATGAGCGTGCGAGTGCTCTACCACCTGGCAGCCGACCCCGCCACATCAGCACCCACAGCAGTGCTGCTGCAGGCGAAGCCTTTGAGCTTCTTCGCTCCCTTGCTCTCCTCCGCGCTCACAGCGCCGCTGCCCCGTCGTAGCAGCAGCCCCAGTCACCGCGTGGCAGCCCTGCATGAGGTGAGGTGTGGTAATGGGGTGAGTGAGGTGTGGTAATGGGGTGAGTGAGGTGTGGTAATGGGGTGAGTGAGGTGTGGTAATGGGGTGAGTGAGCTGTGGTAATGGGGTGAGTGAGCTGTGCTGTGCTGCATGAATGCCAAACCTAAGGCCGACCTTTGGAAACCACGAGTTTGGAGACGTCTCAGAGTGTGGTAACTGTGATTTGGGCTGTGAGGTGGGCTGTGAGCAGGACCCCAGTGTGGTGACGGGTCATTGGGCAGGATGGTTGTTTATGCTCTCACGAGTATCGTCAGTCAATTCACGTGTACCCTGCCTGCACCTCGCATGCATGACCCACGGTGACTCTGTCTGTGTGTTTCCATGCGTTTTCTTAAGCAGCATCGTATTTTCCCTGTTCTCTTGTACTGTCCCTCCCCAATCTCCCCCTCCAAACACTTCTAAATCCTCACTCACTCTTCTCCCTTGCCTCTTTTCTACAACCCTCGCCCCTCCCTGCAGCGCGCGTGGCTGCTGAAGCTGCTCGCCCTGGCCCTCCACACAACGGCCCCTGCCGCGCACACCCACAAGCACCACCACTCCCACCACGCCGCCCATTCCGCCACCGCAGGGCGGCAACTGGAGATCTGCCGGCAGATTCTGTCGGCACTGTTCATGGCGGACGGGGGTATGGGAGGGGCAGAGGAAGGAGTGGGGGCTGGGGAGGGGGGGAGTGGTGCGCTGGTGGTGTGGGGAGGAGGGGAGCAGCAGGCGGAGGGTGCAAGGGGAGGCGTGCTGGGGGTGAGTCACAACAACATTCATTTGTCTGAGAAAGTGCAAGCAGTACCACTGTGGACTGGGCAAAGCCTGAAGATTTTGTTGCCTTCCAATAAACGCAGCTGCCTGTATTGTGTTCCTCTCGCCCGCATCTTGTAGTACCTTCTCTGAGAAGCTCCTCGCACTTCTCACTTGTTTCCCATGCCAAGCCACTGCAAACCCTCATCCCACTGCCACCTATTTCTTCCCTTTCGCCCTTTCCCGTCTGCTCCATCCTCCCCTTCCCTTCCCCACCCCTCCACCTGCCCCAACTGCATCCCCCAGGCCAATCAGCTGCTGGAGTTGTTTCTCTTCGCCCTGCCCGACGTTTCTCCCAAGTTCCCACCACACATTGCTGCCGTGCATCAGCAGCTGCAGGTGAGGAAGGGCAGCAGCTGCAGGTGAGGAAGGGCAGCAGCTGCAGGTGAGCTCCTTGGGTCCCACCCAAGTGGCATGAGCGTGGTGTGGTGTGGCTACTCGCATCGCATCCACCATGTCTGACGACCAACCAGAGGCCCGTCCATACCTCGCTCCGTTGCACACGTGGCAGCAGCAGTGGCGGATAGGAGCATGTTGGGAGTGTGAAGGAACGATTGTTGCCCCCTACTACCCCCCCACCTCACCATCCACGCCCCCATCTACCCTCCTCTCTCCCCCCCCCTCTACGCCGCGGCAGCTGGAGGAGCTGCTGGGGACGGCAGCAGCGGTGGCGGAGGGGGGAGTGTTTGAAGTGAATGAGAGGGGTGATCGGCTTGTGGACCTGCGAGCTCTCTCACACATCCTCACCCAGGTGCGTGTTGGCGTTGGTCGTTCATACTCGTTTCAATTCTCTCCCATACTGTCCCTCGGCACCCCTTTCCACACCCCCACTTTTCTCACGAAATCATCCACCCCTCTCACTTAAAATCTTTCCGATTTTCCCTATTTTGACATCATTGGTCCAGTAGCGGTGCTGTCAAGTGTCCGCTTCCCCAAACTCCTCTTCACATTTACCCTGTCTTTTGTGCATGGCATGGCATGGCATGGCATGGCACGGCTTGGATTGGCCTTCAGAGGTTTGCCGTGGTCGAAGCACAGCGAGGTCCGGGAGCACCGTTCCTGCCAGGCCCGAACCTGGGGGTGACAGGCTCGGCAGCAGGTTCGGCAGAGGTGCGGCAGGAGGCAGTGAGGGAGGCGTTGAGGTTCGTGTGGCAGCGCAACCGAGTGGAGGAGGAGGCAGCAGCCCAGCAGCACGTGGCTCTGGCGTGGGCTCAGCTGCTGCAGATGGCACTGTCTCGAAGATTTGATCTGCTGCCACCACATGCCCGGCTGGAAGCATTGTTGCAGTGAGTTGGGGCTAGTTCAATCTAGTTTTGAGGCGCTGCAAAAATAGCAGCGCAGCAGCACGTGGCTCTGGCATGGCGCAGCTGCTGTAGATGGCACTGTCTCGAGAATTTGATCTGCTGCCTGCGACCACATGCCAGGCTGGAGGCGTTGCTGCAGTGACTAGCGAGTTCGGGATTTATGCCATGCCTGGCTGTCCCACCCACTCTCCCTCTAGTTTTCAAGTATGTGTTGTGTGGGTGTGTGTGTGTGTGGGTTTGTTTTTCCCAATCTTTCTCTCATCGGTGCTTCCTTGTCATGTCAGCACTCCCTTTTCCGAAATGTACGATGCTGAGCTTACCTTCCCCCTGCTCGCTCCCCCCCCTGCAGGCTGCTCTCCGCGTGTCTGAGAGCCATCGCCGCGCCTCACATTCCCCTCTCCCTCGCCAAGCCCGTTTCCCAGGTAGTGAATGCCGCAGGGAACTAGCTAAATTGCTCTTTTGCCTGCCATATCCTTTCTTTTCAGGCTACAACAGTATATAGGTGCATCTTGTCCCCTGTTTTCAAACCGTATCCACGCCACCACTTAACCCCTCTTTTCCCAGTTTCTTGACCTCGTGGTTTTTGCCAGCTCTAGCACTCCCCGCATGTGTGCCACACACACATCACTCACATGCCATACTCCGCCATCTCTTCACCTCATCTATTCTCCCCTCCGCTCCTACTCTCCCCAGGTCGTCCTAGTGGCGTTCCTCCAACTGTAGCACCTGTCCTCCTCCTCCACTCCGCTCAGAAGCCATGTGCCTCCCTCCTTTTTCTCTTTCCTCCCTTTCTCTCCCCTCTTCTCCTCTCTCCCCAGGTCGTCCTAGTGGCATTCCTCCAGCTGCAGCACCTCTCCTCCTCCTCCCCTTCCTCCTCCTCCTCCGACGCACCCTCCTCTGACGACGCGGGCGAGGTGACGTGGAGCGACGTGATTGGCCACTCTTCCCTCTCCGACGCAAGCAACAGGGAGGGACTGGGGAGTGCGGCAGGAGGGGCAGCAGGGGGCGGGGGGGCTCGGGGGCAGGTGTCACTGGCAGAGAGCACGGGGCTGCTGAGGGACCTGCTGGGCACACTCATGCGGAAGGACTCCTCTGATAGCCTCCGGAGGAGGTGAGTGAGCGGCAGGAGGTGAGTGGGTGGGAGGATGTGAGTGGGCAGCAGGAGGAGGCGAGTACTGGTGGGAGAGCCTGGAACTCATCGGGGTGATCCGTCTACTGCACCTCACTGCACCTCACTGCACCTCACTGCACCTCACTGCACCTCACTTCACCTAAGAGCAAGCCTGGTGTGATGATGACATGATGACCTCAACATACCTCTCCTCAACCCTATCATGCTTCTCTCCCTCCCTTCTTCCAACCTCTCCTTCCCTCTCGTGCCATCCGCTCTCTTCTCCATCCTTTCTCTCCCCCCTCCCACACCCCCTCCCCCCTCCCACATCCCCTCACCCCTCCCACATCCCCTCCCCCCTCCCACATCCCCTCACCCCTCCCACATCCCCTCCCCCCTCCCACATCCCCTCACCCCTCCCACATCCCCTCCCCCCTCCCACATCCCCTCCCCCCTCCCACATCCCCTCCCCCCTCCCACATCCCCTCACTCCTCCCACATCCCCTCCCCCCTCCCACATCCCCTCCCCCCTCCCACATCCCCTCCCCCCTCCCACATCCCCTCCCCCCTCCCACATCCCCTCACCCCTCCCACTTCCCCTCCCCCCTCCCACATCCCCTCCCCCCTCCCACATCCCCTCCCCCCTCCCACATCCCCTCCCCCCTCCCACATCCCCTCCCCCCTCCCACATCCCCTCCCCCCCCAGGCTATACACGTCGCTCCTCACCTTCCTCGCGATCTGTGCACGCCGCTTCCGCAGTGCTGACGTGGACATCTCACCAGCTGTCATGGCGCTCATTCTCAGGGAGCTGCCCGGGGAGGAAACTTCCTCCGACCGCTCCCTGGATATGGTGCGTGGGTGCTGGGGGGAAGGGAGGGGGTTGGGGGGCGGGAGTGGGGGTTCGTGGGCGAGGGAGGGGGGTTTTAGGGGAGGGGAGGGGAAAGGGACTTCCTCTGACCGCTCCCTGAATATGGTGTGCGTGTGCTGGAAGGGGGGCAAGAGGGAAGGGGGAGCAAGAAACGAGGAGAGGCGGGGGTTGGGAAAATGGGTGGAGGAAAGGGACTTGTTCTGAGCACTGCCTGGATATGGTGCGTGCTGGGGGTGGGGGGGCAGGGGCAGGGGGGTTAGGGAGGAGGATTCCTCACCACCCTATGAAGATGACTTGTCACCCGACTCTTAAGTTCTCTCTCCCCCCTTCCTATCTGCTTCTCCTCACCCGCCTTCCCCCCCCCCCCGCCCCCCTGCCCTCCCATTTCCCTGTCAGTTGGATCGGCAGCGCAGGGAGATGCAGCGAGCCACACACGCCCTCCTCTCGCCCCACCTGCCCGCTCTCATCCGCACTCTCTCCCACGACGCCTCCTCCTCCCCCTCGCCCCTCACTCGCTCCCTCGCACTCGCCGCCCTCTCCTCCCTCCTCTCCCACTCCGCCGACCCAATCGCTGCTTCTGCCAGCCTGGCGCCGACCAATGGCATCGCGACAGCTGGACGGGACCACCGGAGCATCTTTGCGCAATCCCTGGGCGGTGGGCAGAATCAGAATCTGCCGATTGGATTTGGGCGGCTGCCGGATTTGGCGCCGGGGATGACGTCAGCGCTGGCGGTGGCGTCCACGTCAGCAGCAGCTGTGCTGAGTCAGATGCAGGCGCATGGAATGGTGCAGGCGTGCATAGCTGACGTCAGCAAGGGGATCTCAGAGGTGGGCATGCGGCATGTGGTGGAAGGTCGAAGTGTGCTGTAACAGTCAAGTTATTGAAGCATCTTGCTTCAAGTACACTCTGCACAGCTTGACCATTCCCTGCTCCTGGAGTTCTTACATACTACACCCTCATCTTTCTCCTCTCCTTTCCCCGCTTATCCCCCTCTCTCAGGTGCTCCTACTGCCTTCGGCCGACGCCCAGCGCCAGGCGTTCGTGACGGAGGCGCGCCTCTCACTGCTCCTCTCCATCGCAGCCTCCACGGGGCGCCAGGGGCTGCTGCTGCTGCTCAACGCGGGCTTCCTCCGCGCCATGGCCGCCTGCCCCTCGCTCGACGCCCCTGTCTCTGTGAGCGCTGCAATCCCTGACCTGCGATTGCGCTATTCATGGAACGGCAGGGGCTGCTTCTCAATGTTGACTGCCATTCTATTGTGCGAGGTCAAAGGTTTCTGCCCAACTCGCCGCACGCCCGACCCAATGGGTCTCTCGTACCCAGCCCAGCCCCCCCCATCCCAGTGCTACTCGCACCTCATCGCCCCCGTTCGGCGCCAGCTGCATCTCTGAACCCACATCGCACATTCTTGTTCTCGGCCCGGCTCTCTTTCGTGCCTATTCCACCCCCGTTAATACCACCCCACCACCTCACCTCCCACCCCCCAGGAGTCATCCTACCTGGCGCCCACGCCAATGGGTCACTCATCCTTGGACGTCCCATCCGCGTCCCTCTGCTTCGCCCACGTTGCTCCCGTGCTTCACCTGCTGCTTCCTGCTCTTCCATGCTGGATTCTTGAGCCCATAGCTCATATCCTTGTTCTGTGCCCAACTCTCTTTCCTGCTTTTTTTCCAACCCTGTAACACCACCCCACCACCTCACCTTCCACCTTCCAGGAATCATCCTACCTCGCGCCCACCCCAGTGGGGCTCTCATCACTGGACGTCCCATCTGAGTCGCTCTGCTTCGCCCACCTCGTTGCCCCCGTGCTGCGCCTCCTGCTCGCCCTCTCCACGCTCGCCCCGCCTGACGCCTCGCTCTCCCCACACGCAGCACCCTCCGATGCCACTGTGAGTCCCTTGTGCTGCCCGTATCCTCAAGATTCGTCTACCCTCGCCCCGCCCGCCGACTCGCTCTCGCCGCACGCAACGCCTTCCGACGCCACTGTGAGTCGGCATGCTCCTCCTGAGTAGGTAGGACTGCCTGCCTGTAGCCTCAAGATTTGTCTCAGTTCACGTGGATTTTGAATGGGGTGGAAGGCACCTCAAGGACCCTCTTGATGCCGCTTTGAGTAGCATGCTCCTACGAATACTTAAGTGACGGCGCCTCAGAATTAAAGTGGGTTGACATGGAAAAACATTTGGAAAGACGACTCAAGAGTCCATTTGATGCCACTGTGAGTTTCCTGCCTGCCACTATGGATGCACTCTGCGGCTGCTTCTCCTTGCGGAGCAGATCCATCTGGTTGCACCTCTCACCTTTCACTCACCCTTCTGCCCCTCTGCCACATTCAAAGGTGGACGTGGCATCACAGCTGCTGCAGTTTGCAGCCCACCACAAGCCCACGCTCTTGTGCCTGCTCTGCTGCTCTCTCATCCCCCTTGCACCTCTCCCTCCCCTTCTCCCCGCACACACAGTCCAAGGCAGACGTGGCATCACAGCTAGTGCATTTCGCCTTGCACCATGACCCCATGCTCTCATGCCGCGCATGCTCTGCTGCTCTCTCATCCCCCTTGCATCCCTCTCACTCCCCTTCTCTCACCCCTCTGACCCTTGCATCTCTCTCGCCCCTCTGCATCTCTGCATCTCTGCCCCTCTGCCTCTCTGGTCCTACCCACGCAGTCAAAAGCAGACGTGGCATCACAGCTGGTGCAGTTCGCCCTACACCACGAGGCCATGCTCTCCCGCCTGCTGGAGGACCGCTCGCCCGCCTGCAACCCCACCGACCTGCTGCTGCTCTCCCTCTCCACCGCCTTCCTCTCGCGGGTGGGTTGGGTTCTATTATATGTGCTACGCGGCCCTCCTTCGCACCCCAAGGGGTACCTGCCTCTGCTCTGCCTGCCTCCTCCCACTCGAATGTCTCCCCCATCTCCTCCTCGCGCTCCCATCTACTGCTAGCCCGCCTGCTATTAATCTCCAATCATAAAATATTTCTTATTGTGGAGTTCGCCCTTGCTCGTTCCCCGTCCCTCCCTGTCTCCCTCCGCTACTCCAGGCCCTTCTCTGGGCGAACCCCGCCCAGCTGGAGGGAATGCATGGCCTCATGCTGCTTGAGTCCCCCTCTCCATCTCCTTCCCCATCCCTCCCGCTACTCCAGGCCCTTCTCTGGGCCAACCCATCTCAGCTGGAGGGGCTGCGCGGCCTCATGCTGCGCGCAGCAGCAGCATACAGCGTGGGTGATGGGGAGAGCCGTGTGAAGTACGTGCGGCAGCGCATGGCCAGAGAGGAGGAGGACCGTGCGGGGGAGATCGGCGGGATCTCGCTCTCCCTGCTCGTGCCCGAGGTGCGCTGGTGTGCTGCTTGCGCTGTTACTGCTGCTGCATGCAGCAGCAGCAGCAGCAGCAGCAGCAGCAGCATCCGGTGCCATATTTGGTGTTTTGTGATCAGTCTTTGACTCTAGGATTGGCTCATATGCCGTCTTGTTTCACTCCTCTGCTGCTGCAGCATGTGCTGTTTTTTTTTTCTTCTGTTTTTGCTGTTTTGCGATTCATCATCCTCCCATCCCATCGCACACACCTCCATCTCATCCCTCTTGCCCCTTCACCCCTTCCCACCACGCAGTCTGAGTTGCAGAAAGGGCATGCAGTGGTGGGGAGGGATGGAGGGAGTGTTGCAGTTCAAACTCATCAGCCATCCTTCCGCTACCACTCCCTTCTCACTCTCTCACGTGCGCTCCCGTCTTCACATCCACTTATACCCCCATAATTTGTGCATGCCTGTCAGGAGGAGCATGCGACGGAGGAGGGAGTGCTGAGAGTGAGAGCCAACCTGATGTCGTACCTTCGCTCTCTCGTCTCCTTCAAAGGTTTCCTGCTACCTGCCACCTCCAAGCACCAGGTAATTCGTCAGTTTCATGCAAACACCAGGTGATTCGCCAGGAGCCTGCAAACACCAGGTGATTCGCCAGGTGCCTGCAAACACCAGGTGATTCGCCAGGTGCCTGCAAACACCAGGTGATTCGCCAGGTGCCTGCAAACATCTCTTATATCATCCATCCTTCTGCCTGCCATGCCCTCCTCTTCCACCGTCACCATATGCTGAAATGATATGAGAGCATCCGTCCCATGCCATACCCACAACACAATCATAATGCCCCACTGTCTATCGCTTCTTAACGTTCCCACTCTCTCTTCTACTCTCCCCAAACTCTCTCCACTGCCACGTGGCAGCATCAGGGCCCCACGTTGAGCCTGTTATCAGATCTTCTCCGTCAGATGGTGATTGACCTGCAAGCAGCTGTGGAGGCCCGTGGCACCGCACTCACCAAGGTGTGTGTGCGCCTCTCACTCTTCAGTGCCACACAGCAGCCCACTGCACCGCACTGCACTGCACCACAGCACTGTAGAGCATTGGAGCCCTGCTCCATCAGATTGTGATTGACCTACAGGCAGAATGTGGAGGCCCCATGAGGCTGCACTCACCAAGATAGCACCGTATCGCACCGCTCTACACCACTCCACACCGTATCCTACTTGTTCGATCCCACGGAAGCACTCTGCGTTGGCACCATAAAAAATGGTGGTAGTGAGAATCTTCTCAGCGCTCAAACCTCCTCTGCCTCCTATTCCTCTTTCCTGCCCCATGATATTGTATGTTGGTGATATGTCATGAGGCACGACACGGCATGTGATCACATGACCCACGATGGCATGGCATGGCACATGATCGTATGGTATGGCATGACACAACATGGCATGGCACGATATGGCATGACATGATATGGCATGGCACGATATGGCATGACACGATATGGCATGGCACGATATGGCATGGCACGATATGGCATGGCATGGCATGGCATGGCACATGACGGCACGCCCCATCAGCTGGTGGATGTGAACGACATGTCACGGCACGAGGCAGAGGAGCTCATCAACGCCACTGCCTTCCACTCGCCCCACACCGCCCAACAACACTCCCACCTCCCCCTCCGCCAAGCGTACTTCCTCCTCACCCCTATCTTCCTCGCCTCCTCCTTTTCCTTTACTTGTACTCTCTTCCACATACCCCACTCCGCCCTAACTACCCACTTCCTCGCACCAACGTATTTCTCCCTGCGCACTCATCTGCACATTCGCTGCTCACTTTCTATCGTCAACCCCGCAGCACGCCCTTCTGTTTTCACCCAGTGCCGCATCAACCCCAGAATGTGTACATGCTTAGATCTTCCTCTCCCGCGTCTCCCACCTCTCCCCCACTTCACCCTCTCTTCTCCAGTCTCAAATACCCTCTTCCCGCTCTCTGCCATTTTCCCCACCTCCCACCACACAGGCGGCGGCAGGCGCTGCTAATCCTGGCCAGCCTGGCATCCACCAAGGAGAGAGCGCTCACCTGGATGCTCTACATCTGTGAACACCTGCTGCACCTCCTCCTCTCCCACTTCTCCCTCCACCACTCCCTCCTCTCCCGCTCCTCCTCGCCCCTCGCCTCCTCCTACTCGCCCTCCCCCACCACCTTCTCCTCCCGCCCGCGCTCCCTGCGCGTGCAAGGGCCTCGCATGTCCCCGTCCCCTGGAGGAGCTGATGGGATGGGGTTCGGGGGAATGGCTGAGGGGGGAGAGGATGCAGCAGCAGCAGCAGCAGAGGCGACAGCGGCGGGGATGGCAGGGGGACACAGCAGGGAGGAGTTTGAGGCGGTGGTTGGGACCACTGCTGACCTGGAGGCAGTGGCTCGTGAGGTGCTGCCAAGTGTCAACAGACTAGTGGAGGTGAACGAGGTGAGCTGTCTGGCACATGCAATGCTCTCTGGGTTGAGCGGTATATGTTGTATGGCTGTCTGAACAATGATGAGTGTGTGCTGATTGGAGGTGGACAATTCACCAGGCGCCACAGCGGAGCTGGTATAACCATCTCCACATTGTGAAGAGTAAATGTGTAAGGTCATGTGTTCAGGCTTGAATCAATGCGATTGCTCAAGGGCCATTATTGCTCTTCTGCCCTGTCTGCTTGCCACCATCCCCAACTGGCAGTCATGGCTTGCCCTTCACCTCACCCACCCAATGTTTATGCGTGTGAAACCCAGTTGCAAGCTTTCAAATCACCATTCGCCTATGCCACGCGCTCTCCCCCTGTCCATTGTTCCGCTTGCAGGACAGGGTGGGTTCCAGCATGGGCTACACAAGGAGCCTTGCTCTTTTTTCTCTGAGTCGCCTAAAGAATCCTCTCTCTCTCCCTGTCCATTGCCCCGCTTGCAGGACCGTGTCGGGTGCAGCACGGAATACGTGAAGCGCCTTGCTCTCTCGCTGCGCTCCTCTCTGCTGCTCCAATTCCACCTCTAAGGCAGTGCTCTGTGTTCACCACTGCTCGTTGTTGCGCCGTTTGTGGCCAACTAAATAGATGGTACGGGTACCGTGTGCTACACATTGTGATGCAGCTTTGGTCCTATCCTATGGTACCCCCAAGGATGGCTGTTTGTTTCTATGAGTAGTGTAGAATGTCACGCTACTTTGACGGATGTTTTTTGTCGGAAATGTTCTTTTGAATGCTTTCCTTATCATTAGCTCTCACTGTAGAAATAACATGTGTCTGGTGTGCACTGTGCAGTGGTAGAGTGGGTAAAAAGGAGAAGATTTCCCAAAGATGAACCTGTATAGATAAAGTATGACCCGGCAAGGATCTCCGAACCTTCTCATTACCACCTTCCCTTGGTTCTCAGCATCAGGTGTTAGTACCAGGAACGTCAGGAAGAGAGGACGCAGGAGGAGACGGCAGAGGGACACGCTGTGGAAGAGAGGAAGGACGAAGTGCCATCTGGTGCGTGCCTGGGACAGGAGGAGGACGCTGACGTGGAACACGACGACCAGTGCGAACAGCGCGAACAGGCGACGCAGGACGAGACGCAGGCTCAAGTAGCTCTGTAAGAGAGTCTGTCTGCTCAGTGTAAGGAGAAGGAGCAGGCAAGGGGGAGGTCCCTGATGTTTTGATCCCTTGGATCCGCGCTGTCCGTC